TATATATATATATATATATATATATATATATATATATATATATATATATATATATATATATATATATATATATATATATATATATATATATATATATATATATATATATATATATATATATATATATATATATATATATATATATATATATATATATATATATATTATTAATATATAAATAATATTATTTAATATTATTTATATATTAATATTTTAATATTATTTATATTATTAATTTATCAATATATATATATATATATATATATATATATATATATATATATTATTAATATATAAATAATATTATTAATATATAAATATATATATATATATATATATATATATATATTATTAATTATTAATGTTCATTTATATAGCGCTAATTAAATAAAAAATCTCTAAAGCATCACATAAATAAAACAGTTTACGAGTGAACGATTAAAGAAAAATACTAAATGTTAAACCAAAGAAAATAAATGCGTTTTTAATTCTTTTTTAAAATTGTTCAAAGAATTTCCAGGTCTTCTTAGCAACTCCGGCAAAACGTTCCAAACCATCGGGCCAGCAACAACAATGTCACGCAATCCTATTTGCAAACGATTAACTGGTATTATCAAAAGGTTCATATCGTCTGATCTCAAACTAAAATTCGATGTGGATGTTTTCCTGACAAATCTACTGGACAAATATTCCGGAGCCAGGCCATTTAACGATTTGAAAACTATGACCGCCATTTTGAAGATTATCCTCTTGTTGATTGCCAACCAGTGGAGATCATTCAAAATCGGCGTAACTTGATCGAACCGCAGCCCACTAGTTTAGCCGCACGATTCTGGATTGATTGTAGAACTGCTACTGACATCTGGGGTAGCCTATAGAATAAACTGTTGCAGTAGTCGAAACGGGATGTTATGAGAGCGTGTACTAATGTTTCCATGCTACTCCTGTCTAAATAACGTCTGACTCTATACATGCCTCTGATGTGAGCCATACTAGCAACTGATATGTTCTTGATGTGTTCTTTCATTGTGAGATTAGAAATCAACCAAAACTCCCAAATTCGATGCAGTCGTGCCAAACAATATATCTATATTGTTTACTTCCACCGAGCTTTGACAACTGCTACCAAGTGCCAACCGGGAGCAGTTGGGTTTTGCACTGATTCAACTTGAGCGAATTGCTGGACATCCAGCGTTCAACATTGGTCAAACATCTGATAAACCTTTCAATCTCTCTATGAAACACTTGCGGCCGACCAGTAACAATCATCTGAACAACATCAGCAAACGCGTGGCTGGTGAATCCATGTGAATTAATCATCCTGGCTATGTCCGATGTGTATAACAAGAACAGAATGGGCCCTAACACTGAACCTTGAGGTACTCCGGATGAAACAAAATTTATTTCTGATGAAGTGTTTCTAAACAGAACCTGCTAGGTACGATCTTGTAAGTAAGACTGAAACCATGCAAGTGCAGTACCACAAATACCAAAACCATAATATAACTTCTTTAACAGAATATGGTGATTGACGCAATCAAATGCCGATGACATATCGAGGAAAGCCAACAGTGAAACATTCTGGGCATCTATTTCTGAGATTAGCTTGGAAAGAACATGTAATAGCGCCGTCTCTGTCGAATGAAATCGCCTGTAGCCTGACTGGTGAATTTGCACGAGGTTGTTTTTTGTTAAATGACTCAGCAGACTCTTAGCAACAACTCGTTCGATAATCTTTGAGATAAACGAAAGTTTCGAAATTGGCCTGTAGTTTGAAATATCATTTTCATCCAAATTGCTTTTTTTCAAAATTGGTTGAATCACTGCATGCTTTAGACCAGCAGGAAATTGTCCTGAACCCAAGCACATATTTACAAAACCAGTGAGGAAACTGATGAACAAATTGATATGCTTTTCAAAAATGCACGTTGGAATTGTATCAAGAACACTCATCAAGTTTTTGATGGCGAACCAAGTATAATTTTCTTGAGATCAGCCTCCGTGATTTTTGGAGATGATGAAAGACAATTGACCTTTGACCTATTATCGTCAAGTGAAGGATCATAATTAGCTTCTGTAGTTTGAGTAATTTTATTTATTTTATCCGCAAAAAAACTTATGAATTGTGAAGCTGTTAGTAGCAAACAATCGAGCAAGACATGAAAGCTCTAAATTTAAATGAAATGGATACAACTGATCGTCTAATTTAGCGCAAAAAGTTGATGGCAAAGAGAACAACGTCCTACCTCCCGGGTCTCTGGACGCAAAACGAAGATTGATTGATTGTTGATGGTCTTAAATTGATTTTTGAAAAATTGAATGATATATATATCATTCAACACTAATTTCAACACTACTTTCAACATTGTTCAACTTTTTTTTATTTTTTTTAATTTATTAATGTCAGAAAAATTAGACATTTTATTGTTTTAAAAAATTTTATTAAATAAATTTGCAAATAGCTATTTCGAGTTATAGATAACTCATCTTCAGTGCATTATATATAATGTATGTAAGATATTTGATAAGAAGGAACAAGTAATTATTAATATTATTAATTTATATAAATTATTCAATTAAAACAGAAAACGAATAAAATAAATTTAATAACATTAAACAATATAAAACGCGATTTTCAAAATTTTAACGGTAAGATTGTTTATATTATAATTGTGAAGGTAAATATCAACGCTCAGCCGAATTAATTTATTTAATTAACTACATATTATTAATATTATTTTTACAATATTTAAAAACTTTATTATTTTTATTATTGTTAACGTTATTATTATTTTTATTATTATTATTATCATTATCATTATCATTATCATTATCATTATTATTATTATTATTATTATTATTATTATTATTATTATTATTATTATTATTATTATTATTATTATTATTATAATTGATTATTGCTTTGAATAATACGAGGGTTGGACGTTTACGTTCAGCTCACTATTTTTAAGCATAATTTTGATTTTATGTCGTTCAAATTAGTTTTAAAATAGATTCTGTTGTCTTGAAAAATTTAGAGGATTATGGCGATACATTTAAAATTAAATTTCATTAACCTTAAATATTTCATTTTAATTATTTTAATTAATTCAATTTATACTGTTAATTCAACTAAATGTCCACATTGCGACAAAACATTCGTTAACGTTAATAAACACTCCTGGAGGTGTACTAAAAATACTGCTAATTCAAACAACAACGTTGTTCGTTCAAATGTTAAATCAAACATAAACATTTCATCTGATATTTATAATGGCAATTCTGTGGACAAGCACTCAATAAATTTAGAAAATAATATTATAACATGTTGTTGCGGAAAAGGATGCAAAGGCAGGAAAGGGTTAATTATGCACCAGCGCTCATGCAAAATGCATAAAAAAATTCAACTAAAGGATAACCAAACAAACGAAGTTGACGACACAGCATCACCTCCGGAACAACAAACGTCTCACAAATCAAGTCGCACAACACCAATTTCTCCATCAACGCCGGCCAGTGACACAATCGAATCCACTCTGCCGGGTACCAAACTACCCAAGACGTCGACCCAATGGTCCGAAGCCAACGTTTACTTTCAACTACAACAACAATCACTTCCAAGCTATGACAATATCGACAACTTCACGTCCGCCTTCCAACAAATGATTTACAACTATTTCGCCACAAACTATGGCACTCTTAAACAACAAACAGTCAATAATACCAGCTCCAACAAATCAATCAAAAATCTAAAAAAAGAACTAAAACAGCTAAAGCTACTAGGCCACAACAATCAGCGCTTCGATGACCAAATCATCACAACAAGCAAAGCGCTCAGAGCTCAAATAAAGTCAAAAAAATTAACAAAATGCGATCAATCAGTCGACGTCACGTCTCAGCTAAAACAGCGCTTTTGGGGGACATGTAAGAAAATATTCGACCAAACAGAAAATTTGAAACCACTGTTTGGTGTCACTGATTGCCATCAATATTTTCTTTCGATTCTCAACAATCCTCATCAAACAAAATACCAAATACCTAGCTGGGCTCCAAAATTACAAAAGCCTCCAACACTCTGCAACACAAGCCCTCCTACATACCACGAAATTTCAACAATAATCCATAAATACAAATCAAAATCATCACCATGCCCTTTCGACCAGATTTCGATAATTCCATTTAAAAAATGCCCAATACTACGAACAATTCTCCACAAACTGTTGGTTCAATGCTGGGTATCTTGCAATATCCCCACTTGCTGGAAAAAGGGTTTCACAGTCCTCATCCACAAAAAAGGGGACGCCAACGACCCTTCAAACTTCAGGCCCATAACATTGCAACCAACTTTATACAAAATATTTTCATCATTCATCAACAATAAAATATATAATTTTTTAGAAAAAAATAGTCTGATCAACACAAATATTCAAAAAGGGTTCTACCCAAAAATCGATGGTTTGACCGAGCATAATCAGCTCTTAAGTCATCTTCTCAACGATGCCAGGAAACATCAAAGAACTATAATTGTTTCCCTACTCGATCTTCGAAACGCGTTTGGAGAGGTCAACCACAATCTCATCTCATCAACTCTGAACTTCCATCATATTCCACCTCATATAATCAACTTAATTAAATGCATATACACGAACTACTCAATAACAGTATCCGGATGCGACCAGCTAACACCGCACATTCCAGTCAAGCGAGGAGTGCTTCAAGGTGATCCCATGTCTCCACTGCTCTTCAACCTCTGCTTTAACCCCCTAATGAAATTAGTTGAAAAAACCAAATATCAACAATGCGGCTACATTTGGGGTCCCACGGCTAAATTAAAGACAAGAGCGTGGCTACAATTCGCAGACGACACGGCGACCATTGCTAACAGCACTGGAAGCGCTCAAAAGTTAATCGACTTAAACAATGCATGGTGCAAAGCTACTGGAATGACAATGAGGATAGACAAATGTTCCTCATTCGGCATGAGAAAAAGAAAAGGTGCTTATGAACAGTTTCATCCGATGCTGTCCATCGACAACAAACATATTCCTCATGTAGATATTGGAGGCCACTTCGTATATTTAGGTAAGTTATACGATTTCGAAGGAAATAATACAAAGGCCAACAATCTAATGGTCAATAAACTCAAAAAAATATTAACAACTGTCAGTGAACTGAACACAACAGCTCAACTCAAATTACAAATCCTCAGACTTTACTTGCCGTCACAATTTGCGTTTGAGTTTCGAATGTACGATACATCGCTGACTTGGATTGGTGAAAACTTAGACACCTTGGTCACCGAATCGGCAAAAACATGGCTATCATTGCCTATCAGCAGCTGTCTGTTGGAAACTATGTCGCTCCCATACAAGTCAGGTGGTCTAAATATTAGATCACTCAAACATTTTGCCGAATCTCTAAGAGTAAAATTACGAAATTACCTTAAATCAAACGGCCACGAGGAGTTAAAATGTTTGTGGAGTGAGTCATACAATAAGTATATTAAAATTGACAACATGCTTCCCGACTCAAATGACACAAAATAGACACTCAGCGCTCTAAAGAATCGGCAAGTAAATGAAGAACTGGAACATTTGCTGTCACTCCGCTGCCAAGGGACCATTTTTAAGTCGATTAAAGACAACATTCCCGCGGTAAGAATTGCTCACTGGTCGAGGTTCACCGCCAAACTTTCTGAAGTACTGTTCAAATTTGTTAGGAAAAGCCTTATTCAACAGCTTCCAACGAATGCTAATCTATTTAGATGGGGAAAATCGTCTTCTGCCATTTGTACACTTTGCAATGCTCGGCAAACCAACAAACATGTCCTATCCAACTGCAGCTCGGTGGCAGCATTAAAAAGATACACAGCACGCCATAACAATATTCTAAATATAATAATAGAAAAATTGAAATCATGCGCAGGACCAGAGGTTGCGATGTATGCAGACGTCGTTTATGATGGGACCCGCCCACTGTCGTGTCTCTTCAAATCACTTCGTCCCGACATCGCACTACTCCGTGACAACACAATTGAAATATTGGAGCTCACCGTCTGCCATGAGTCTAATTTTTTCAATTCAAAACAATATAAAATGGACAAATATTCTAATAACCTCCATAACAATTTACTTGACAATTTAAAACATTTAAAAATAATAATCAACACGTTCGAAATTTCGCCGCTAGGTTTTTTCAATTGTTTCGATTTGTCGCTGGTCGACATTATTTGGTCTGATCAATTTTATAATAGTCTTATTAACTCTGCGATATCCTCATCATACGCTGTTTATTGTGATAGAAATTTGACGGAATGAATCGATGTAAAACTAATCTGTTCTCGTTGTACTCATTTCGTGTTTCTTTCACTGAATGACGAGCTACGTAGAATACGCTTTTATAATTTTTTTTTGTTTTTCTTTACCTAAATCATTTTTGATTTATTATTATTATTATTTATTTATATATCTTATAATTATTTTACGTTATACAATATTTAATTTTAACATTTTATTGACATATTTTATTTTGACTATTTTTGATTTTACTGGTTTTCTCTGAATAATAAAAGAGTTTACATTGGGGCCCTTCAGCTTATTTAAAATCAAAGGCATGGTTCCAATTTTCTGACGACTCAGCAATCATCGCCAACAGCACAGAAGGTGCCCAAAAATTAATTGACTTAAACAAAGCATGGTGCAAAGCTACCGGGATGAAAATGAGGATAGATAAATGCTGCACGTTCGGCATGAGGAAGAAAAATGATAATTACGAACAATTCCTGCCGATGTTGACAATTGATGACACCCCTGTACCGCAGATTCGCATTGGTGACCATTTCGAATATCTAGGTAAATTATACGATTTCGAATGCAACAATTCCAAAGCTAAAGATTTGCTGCTCAACAAATTACAAGGCATGTTGTCAACGATTTAAAGTCTGGACAACACAGCCCAGTCGAAACTTCAAATTTTACGTCATTTTATCCCAGCTCAAGTAGCCTTCGAACTGCGTATTTACGATATATCACTGTCATGGATTGCCAGCAAGTTGGATCCATTGATTAACGATGCCGTTAGAACTTGGCTGGCTTTACCTATAAGCAGCTGTCTATCTGAGATTCTTTCACTGCCGTAAAAATTGGGAGGTCTGAACATCAGATCTCTGAAACATTATGCTGAATCATTGAAAGTGAAGCTTCTCAACTACCTTAAATCTAACGGTAACGAAGAAATGAAAAGTCTGTGGAGCGAGTCATTTAATGACTACACAAAAATAGACAACTTGCTCCCAGTCACCAAAGATATAAATCCCACTCTCCTTGATTTGAAGCTCAAACAGCAAGAAACGGTGTTCGACCATTTATCATCACTAAGCTCCCAAGGAATAGTGTTAAAGACAGTGAAGGAAAACATCAAATCAGATCAAATAGTTTGCTGGTCAAGGTCTACGGCCACACTGTCAGAGGTTATTTACAAGTTTATTAGGAAAAGTATCATTCAACAACTTCCAACAAACTCCAACCTAGCAAGATGGGGCAAAACGTCTAAACCACAATGTCCACTATGTAACGCTTATCAATCAAACAAGCATGTTTTGTCCAATTGTAGCTCCGTTGCAGCTTTGAAAAGATATTCGGATCGTCACAACAAAGTTCTCTCAATAGTTTTAGAAAATATTAAAAAATGCGCAAGTTTGGAAGTCTCGTTGTTTGCCGATCTGGAGTGTGAAGATTGTCGGACGACAACGGTATCAACGCTGTTAAAATTTCTGCGTCCTGATATAGCACTGGTCCGCGACGACACGATCGAGATTTTAGAACTAACAATATGCCACGAAACAAATTTTAAAAAATCTAAAGAATACAAAATTGAAAAGTACTCTCAAGCCCTTCAACTTAATTTAAAGAGTGAATACAATAATTTTAAACTTTTAATTAAAACATTTGAAATTTCTACAATGGGTTTTTACAAAACTTTTAATTTATCGCTGGTCAACTTAATTTGGTCGAACGATTTTAGAAACAATTTAATAAACTCTGTGTTATCATCATCTTACTCAATATATTGCAATACGAATAATGAATGAACCTTATTTTTATTGGCTATAATCCTCTATTTGTACTCATTTTTGTCGAGTGATGAGCAAATTAGACTAACAGCTTATTAATTTAAATACTTTATTATATTAAACATTATTTTATATCTATCTTTATATTCATTTTGTGATATTTGATAAAATAAAAGCAGTGTTCCCATTATTATCATCGCTGTGGTTCTTCTTGCTTCTTGTGATGATGTTCCATTTGCAAGTGATATTTGCGCTGTGGGTTGTGGCGTTGGTATCTACAGTGTTGGCACTGTTGTTGTTGTTATTGTTGTCGGCTGAGCGTTGATATTTACCTTAACAATCATAATATAAACGATCTTACCGTTAAAATTTTGAAAATCGCGTTTTGTATGGTTTAATGTTATTAAATTTATTTTATTTGTTTTCTGTTTTAATTTAATAATTTATATAAATTAATAATTACTTGTTCCTTCTTATCAAATATCTTACATACATTATATATAATGCACTGAAGATGAGTTATCTATAACTCGAAATAGCTATTTGCAAATTTGTTTAATAAAATTTTTTAAAACAATAAAATGTCTAATTTTTCTGACATTAATAAATTAAAAAGAAATATAAAAAAGTTAAACAATGTTGAAAGTAGTGTTGAATTTTTGAAATGTTGCGTTAACAACAGTCTGTTACAAATAAAAAAATATATATATATATATATATATATATATATATATATATATATATATATATATACAGTCGGACTTCAGTATAACGAATTTGATGGTTCGTTGTATGAACTAAAAACTTTTTCATAACAAATTTAATATTTTTTCCAAACTGCTCAGCAAATTTTTAAGGTTTTTTTTTTTTACAACATTAGTATGAAAAATTAATTTGTTTTTTTTTTACCTTCAAATATATTGTTTTTAATAACGTCAACAAATTTAGAAAACTTTTTGTAACTTTTTATTATATCCGACCTATGTATCTTTATTTTTATTATCATTTCTATAAGTAACATTTCTATTAAAACATTTATTTAATAAATGTTTTAATAATAATTAAATTTAATAATTTTTTCTGAGATGGTTAAGTTTAACAGTTAACCCTCGCGTTGCATCATCATTATGCAAACTTAGTCGGCAAAGCCGCTTAGTGTTCGTTCTTGAAAAATTAGTATTTGTTAATGTCAATTGTCAATGTTTTTAGTGTTATTTTTTTAGTGTGTCTGCAGTTTAAAAAAATTAACATTTGAATAACACTCAGAGTTACCTTTTTTTTATAACATTACACACACTAACATTAATTCTTCATTTTGAGCCAAGTCTTGTTTCAGAACCAGAGTCCTCGTGTTCTTATACTCTTTTTTTTACCCAGTTCTCATCTGTTTTCTTTTCCGCATGGCCAAACTATCTCATTATGTATATTGTTATATCTGAAAAAGATAACATCTGTTATTTGTTGATGTCACGTTGTTAAGCGTTATTGATATTTTTAGTTTGTCCGCAGTTTAAAAAAATTAATGTTGGAATAACACTTTATGCGCGGTTATGTTTATAAAGTATAGAATTTCAGAGAAAATATGCATTAACTTCCTATTGTAAGTTTGATATCGGATATTTGATTTGTAAATATTTTGAAACATGAATTGGAGAAAATTAATTAAATTGATTAACAATTAAGAAAGAGAATTGAGCTTTAGAAAGGTATCGATTTATATCAAAATTTTTAGATAATCTTAACTAACCAGGAATTTAATAAAAGTGTTCAGAAAATTGTTTTGGTAATTTTGTTATTTGATTCATTTTGCTATAAAAATAATATATCGATTTTTGTCAGTCGTACACCCCTTTACATGCGGCATCTACAAATGGTCAACTTAACGTCGTTCGTCTCCTACTTGAATTTGGGGTTGACATTAATGCAGTGAATGAACATGGAAACACTTGTGTTCATCTAGCCTGTTTAAATGGTCAAGAAGTTGTCTTGAAAGAGCTTTTAGATCACAATGCTGCCAACAACAACGCTAATAACAAAGGAATGGTCAAGTATTTTTTGCTCTTAAATTTTTGTTGTACAAAACTGAACCATAATGATTATTTTTGCGTTACATCAAATAAGTATATAAAATTTTAAAATGTCACAAATCTTGGAGTAAAAATGTACAGCAATTATATAACGCTTATGTTATCTTGATTTTATATGATTGAAACCTATAATGAGGGTGTTGCAAATGACAATTTCTCGGACTAACCTATAACATTTTAGTTTAATAAAGGGCGCGAATTGAACGTTCCTATGCCCTCAACAAAAAAAAACTAAAATGTAATTAACCACAATAAATAATTATAATGAATAAAATATATACATGCAATTACTATCAAACATTGATACTCATTACACATTCACACTGAAGTTTATAACATACCAGCAATGTAAATTTCAAGCAAATTCCTTGTTATACAACATGCACTGCACATATACTCAAACATATATTCATTTAAGTGTCATATTTATTTGTACATAAATATCAATACAATTTTCATTAAATTCTATCGCATAGTATTCTTTATTAATTTTTATTTTAATTTATTTATCTAATAATAAATTGTAATTTATTATTTATTTTATTATTTAAATTAACAAAATTATTTTGTAATTGATAATACTATAGCGATAGAATTTAATGAAAATTGTATACGCAATGGCCTTATACCCGATTATATAAATATAAATAGAAAATTAAAGTGCAATCTTCAAGCTTCAGGCTTTCAATATTTAACTTCATCGTCGTTCATTAGGCCAGTCAGGCAGATCAGCTAAACATAACTACACAATCATTAAAAATAAGACTAATAATAGAAAATAATAAATAAACCAGTAAATACAGAAAAAAATTATCTGTCAGCTTTATAGTCCAATTTACATGGAATATATTTTAAAATTATGTCTAAGTTCTTTTTAGCATCGACAACATCACAAGCATTCACTTTTTCAATATTCAAACCATTCCTAATGTCAAAATGTACAAAAATAGTGCTTTTGTTAGTTCATTTAAAATGTTTGGGTTGAAGGCTTGTCCTATCAATCCTTGCTTTAGCCAAATTATAAATACACTACGGCATCTGGTTTGCTTGAAGACCGTTAACAGATTACTACGCAATCGACGATACTTAAGAGTTGAATGATCTGGACGATCTCCGTAATTGAGGCCACAGCAATCCATCACCATCTTCGCTACCCGCTTCTGTGTTTTTTTGATATCCTGGATCATTATCTTGGTTCATGGAGCCCACACGCTGGATGCATATTCAATCCTAGATCTGACAGTAGGTTTATAAAATAACAGACAAGAAATTGAAGTTAAATGATGAGGATTAAAATGACGAGAAGTTAAACCTAAATAGCTATTGTATTTTATTTATACTGCTTTAAATATGCTTATGGAATCGAAATCAAAAGTCACTCCCATAACATTTATTTCTACATCGAGTCACAATCATCGTTTTAAAAATTTTATTTACTGACAACGTAATGTTTAAAATTATGACACACATATCTATATCTAAAACCCCAATAAGGGCTTTATACTCTAAATTTTCAATTAGATCAATATCATGAACCATTAATAAATCAAAAACATTATATCTGCTATAATTTATAAACCAAGTATTAATGTATAAAACCCTATAAAATTCGATTAATGTTTATAAAAACAGTAAACTAGTAAAACTCTGCCAACTGTCATGTTTCACAATACAAACTATAATGATAAAAACTATATTCTAAATGCTAATAAAAATTAAAAAATAAATTTTAAAGTATAATTAAATTGAGTATAAATGTCACATCAATGGATATCAAAGGAAAAAACCACTAACGATATTGATTATAAGTGAACAAAACTTTCAATTTAACAATTTTGTTTACAATTCCAACCAATTTTCGAATTGTCAAAATTTTTCTACTTATTTATTTATTTAACAATTTACAGTCTGAAGTTTGTTATTATTATTACTGTTATTATTATTATTATTTTTCTCAAGGTTATTACAATTAAGTCCTGGGCATGACATAAAACTGCATTCACGCTGCCTTGCGTGCTTTTGAGCAAAATTATTCCTATGCCATCACAAAGAAAAACAACGGCCCCTAGTCTCCAGCAGGCCTTAAGTGGTCAAGAGGTGTCAAGAATCCTTGGAAAGTATGCAATAGCTGAGGGATGATGCAGAAAAATTCAGAATGGCCCCTCTATGGTACTTAGACTTGGAACGCTCAATGTTGGATCACTGACTGGCTGCAGCATGGAAATCGCAAAAATGCTCGAGCGTAAAAGGATTGATATCTGCTGCCTTCAGGAGAACCGATGGAACGTACATGGCGGTTTTGGATATGGAGAACGAAATGAAGATGGCAACCGCATCTTTGAGTTTGCTGAAAGTCACGGGTTTTGTTTATTGAACACATATTTTAGAAAGAGGTTGGAACTTCTCATAACATATAAAAGTGGACCATCAGCCACGCAAATTGATTTCTACGCTGTCAAGCAACAGCACCGAAGGCTATTCAAAAATGTCAAAGTTATACCTGGCGAATCATGTGTCGCCCAACATAGACTTCTTGTGGCAGACCTGGTTGTCGAACTGTCAAAACATAAGTCTAAACAAATGCCTCGGAGAATCAAAACGTGGAAGCTGAAAAGCAATATTTATCGAGAAAAATTTCAACAGATTGTCGCAACACAGTTGGACCACCAATCGCAAGCCAGTACAGATTGGAGTACATACAAAACCGTTTTGATAAACGCTGCAACTACAGTTTGTGGGAAAACTGGTAAAAAACGTCAGCATGAACGGGACACTTGGTGGTGGAATGACAGTGTACAAAATGCAATAGCTGAAAAGAAAGCTGCATGCAAGCAATGGCAAAAATCAAAGTCTGTTGATGACCACCCATCGAAGGTCCGATTCCAGACATCACTGTAGAGGAGCTTACAGAAGCTCTGAAAGCTATGAAGGATGGAAAGTCAGCAGGGCCCTCTGGACTCACAAATGACATTATCAAAGCATCTGGTTCTGCAGGTATCCAAACGTTAATACAACTTTGCCGTGAAGTGTGGAGAAATTGCTCAATGCCGACTGAATGGAACTATAGCATAACAGTTCCGCTATACAAAGGCAAAGGTGATCCATTGAACTGTTCATCATATCGGGGTATACGTCTGTTAGAACACTCCCTGAAAATTGTCGAGAAAATTATTGAGAGAAAATTAACGTCGTGCATCACAATCGGAAATTATCAATTTGGTTTTCTAGCAGAGAAATCAACAATTGATGCAATTGACATCCTTCGGCAACTGCAAGAGAAGTACCTCGCAAAGCATCAACAACTATCACACATTTTTGTACACCTTGAAAAAGCATTTGATCGAGTTCCCCGTGAAGCAATCAGGTGGAGTCTACGTCGACAACTCATTCTAGATTATCTTGTTTGACTTGTGATAGAAATGTATACGAATACTAAGACTCTCGGTTGAAACACAGATGCATTTGACTTCGGCGTTAGAGTTCACCAAGGCTCGATTCTCAGTCCACTGTTATTTATAACTGTGATGGAAGAAATCACAAAACCGATACGCACTGGCGACATTTGGAATCTAATATATGCTGATGATATCGTTTTAACAGCCACGTCTGAACAGAATGCAGCACAGATGTTTGAAGATTGGAACACCAGACTGGCCTATCATGGATTCAAAGTCAACATCAGCAAAACCAAAGCAATGAACATTGGTGAACCGATCCAATCCAAAGCTACTGGACGATGGCCGTGTTCAGTTTGTAAAGCTGGTGTAAGTAACAATTCAATCAAGTGTCAGCAGTGTAACCAGTGTTGTCACAAACGTTGTTCAAAAATAATTGGTAATTTATCTTGAAAGTCCAATTTTGTTTGTCCTGCTTGCATAAATCCACAACAACTAATTCGAAATAGCAATGTTCTTGAAACCATTAAGGTAGAGATCACTTCGTTTCAATATCTAGGGGATGTTCTAGATTGTACTGGAACAGATGAAGCTGCCGTTCTAGGCTGCATACGTGCAGTCTGGAATAAATGGCATCTCCTTGTCTCTATATTGATGCGGCGTGACATCCCACTACCACTACGATCAAGACTTTATAAATCTGTTATACGTCCGGTGATGTTATATGGTGCAGAAACATGGCCAATGACAACCAAACTGGAACAACAACTCCACCGAACCGACATGAAAATGATCCGATGGATGCAACGAATTAGTCTGAAAGACCACATCAAATCAACTGAAATCCTGCATCGTGCTGATTTAAATGATATAAAGGACAAATGCCGGCAACACCGTCTGCGGTGGTTTGGTCATGTCAAACGAAGTGGAAACAGTGCCATAACTTCTCTTGCAGATGTTGAAGTACCTGGCACATGTCTCAAAGGCCGTCCAAATAAGTCCTGGTCGCAAACAATCGAGCAAGACAAGATTTTTACAATTACTAGTTTCGATGAGTTTTTTCTCTCTGTTTTGAGATACTTTTACTTCACCGCCATGCTTATTTACACGCGCTACTGTGACCTTGGCATGAGCAATCCACTTAAAATAATTTGACTAATCCACATCACATGTTCTTTCGTACCGAATCTTCTATATTTTTATTCTGTAAATAATAATTAGAAATTTTTTTTTAATATGTTTATTGTTTTTGGTGATAAGTTTTATTTTACAGATCATTTTTTTCTATTTATTCAGTTTGCAATCTATCTTAAAAAGGACGTTACAATAAGTGATCAACTACTTTTAGTTTTTTTCTCTTTATAAGTGTCGTGATATCCGAGGTAATACACCTGTCTGACTCGAATAAATGCCAAGTCCAAAATAAATAATTTTGTTAACTTATGTAGATGAACTTATAACAAACTTATATGGGCAATCAGATCAGAATCAGACATTTTTTGACAGTCGAGTCAATAAAGGCATTTATTCATGGTTTTATCTGTGGAAGAATTAACTACTGCAATGCGATTATGTTTGGTGTCAACTTATCTCTTCGTGATGATTTGCAGTTTGTTCAGAACACCGCAGTGAGACCTGTTGCTGGTTATTCGAAATTCGATTCAATATAATCGTACATCAGGGATGATTTATACTGGCTCCGCATGCCAGAAAGAATCGTTTTCAAACTAGCTCTACTAGTCAGAGATTGTCTTGCTCCAACTTATTTGAAAGAACAACTACAATTATTTTCAGAAATTGAAATTCGGAGTCGACTGAGACAATAGTGATTTTGTGCTTCCTAAATTCAATTCAAATTTATACATACCAACACATGCAAACATTAATACTTAAGTTCAACTAAAAATAATTTAAAAAAGTTATCGTTTTATTAACATAAATAACCTGCTTTCTAATCATACTTAATTTGAAAGTCATAACTATATCTATCAACAATAATTTTAAATTCATTGACACATTTTACATTGTTTACTTCATGGGGTAACGAGATCCAGGCTGGTATTGTTTTATTTACAAACGAACATTTTCGCAAATTCGTTTTGGAAAACCTCTTGATATTTTTTTATTATGACCTCTGGTTCAGATGAAATTTAGAATATGAACAGTCAAATACCAAAGATTTATATAGCGTTGCAAATGAAAATCTATCTAAACCAGAAAAATGAGTTCTTATCAATCCTAATACTTGATAACAAATCTTAAATTATTATTATACATAACACCAAGATCCTTTATAGATTCTACTTTATTTAAGTCATTATTATTAATTTTATAATTGATTGGAGAAAAGTTGTTATTACTCAAAGACATCCAAACTCATTTATTCTCATTTAAACAATATCATTCACTCCAGGCCACCCATCTTATCCATTCAGCACAATCCTACTAAATTTCTATATAATTCGGATGAAACACAACTAAATAACATTTTCAAAAAAAACCGACTCAAACCAAGTTCACACACCTTGAATAAATTATTAATTAATTAAATGGTATTAAGCACATTTACTTGCGGAACTCAACTTGTAGCATTCATCCAATCAGAACATACCTCATTTACACTAAATATTTCTATCCTTAAATAACATTCAATTCAACATAGATTCGCAATTCGATCATTCCAGCGGTTATACAAATATATTGGAATTATTTTACAAGTTTTTCAATCATCTGGTCAGACACCTAAATTTCAAGAGAAATTATACAGATTACACAAAAATTTAAATACAACTTCTGCACATTCAGACAATATTTTTGAACAAATATAGAATTGAACAATTTTGAACAAATATTATTATTATTATGAGAAAAAACATGGGCGAAGACAAAATGTCCCTATGCCCGCGACACAAAATTAACTATAAAATTTTAACACATAAACAATGTTCATGAATATATGTTAATATGTTCTGTTCATATATAAAGATCAAACAACAACAAAAAATATAAACAAAATATAAGAGAATAACTTCTATTATTAATTCAACTATATATATGTATGCAAATATTTCTTCATAAAAATTCTAATTTCAACCATTCATATATATCGTCCTCTCTTAAAGACAATCATGTCAAAACAAACATTTATATCATCATCCAAAATCTATAAACAGGATTCACGAATAGTCATCTTTCAACTCCGCTCTCCAATTGTATTTAGATTTAGCATTCATAAGAAAATCATCCAACTTTTTTTTAAACTCATTCAAATCACTGCAATTAACAACATCATCATTCAAATTATTCCAAATATTAATAGTTCTATTAACAAAATAATTTTTTCTTAAGTTCGTATGGAATGTCAGTGCTGTTAGCCTCATCTCATGTCCTCTTGTTCGTCTGGTGGCTCTCAATATTTCCGGCAAGCTTCGTTGGTCCTTTTCATTCAACATGTTAAACATCGTTATCAAATCGCCTCTTATTCGTCTGTATTTTAGTGTTGGCAGTTGTAAAAATCTTAATCGGTCCTCATATTTCATTCCCTCACAGTCCTTGATCATCTTTATTGCCCTTTTCTGAACCTTTTCGATCGCTTCTGTTTCACGTATTGTCCATGGTGACCACACACTTGCTGCGTACTCCAGCTGAGATATAACTAAGGATTTATATAATAACACAAAAACATTTTTATCAATATCTTTAAAATTTCTGTTTATTAAACCCAACAATGATAATGCCCTTTTAACATTGCAATGTATATGCTCAATAATTTCAAAGAGGTATCAAAAATAACACCCAAGTCTTTAATTTTATCAACAAAAAGTAATGGGTGCGAGCTTATTTTATAATCATAATTATTATCTGATACAGAACAATCAAACTTCATCACAACACATTTTTCTTTATTCAATTTCACATCATTCTGCACACACCACTCATTCAAATCATTCAATCCCCTATGCATTACCACACTATCCCTATCTGAGTTCATAATTTTAAACAACTTTGCATCATCTGCATAAATATACATCGCAACACCATTTGCATCCTGAAACAAATCAAATAAATCATTAACATACATTAAAACAAAATTGGCCCAAGCACATTACTCTGTGGAACTCCACTCTTTACCTCACAATATCTTGATATACCATCATTCACTCTCACACGAAATGTTCTTCCATTCAAATAATTATAAATCCAAGCAACCAATTTGTCATTCAACCCACATTTGTTCAACTTAACAATTAATTTACTATGTGACACTCTATCAAATGCCTTTTCAAAATCAGTATATACTGCATTAATTCCATAACCTTTATCCACAGCCCTAGACCATTCATCCATCAATTTCAACAACTGCAGAACATCTGATTTTCCCTTGGCAAACCAAAACTGTTTTGTATTCAGCAAACCAGTTTCAATCAAATGTGACATCAAAGCATTCTTTATTATAGACTCCATCAATTTACATGTTATGCATGTCAGTGCAACAGGTCTATAACAGGTCCTTTTTATCTTTTTTTTTATAAATGGCTGTAACAATACTTTCTTTCTATACACTAAGTATGACTCCCCATTCAAAAGACCTATTAAATAATGAACTTAAGTAATCATAAAAAGATTCTTTACATTCAAACAATATCTTTGCACTAATGTTATCTGGTCCAGACGATTTACATACATTCAACAATTTCAGTTTATTGAAAACAACCTGTGGTTCAAAATCAATCACATTCATTAAGTTAATTGTTTTTTCACACAAAACAGTTTCATGTATGCAATCATTATCCCCCTTACTAGTACTATAAACAGTGGTAAAAAAAATCAGCCAAAACATTTGCTTTTTCACATTCATTTGTTACAACAATCTTATTTCCCTCTTTATCAACCCCATACAAACTATCTATAGAAAACCTATCCTTTCTACTATTATTTACCTGTTTCCAAAATATCTTAGGATTAATTTTAACCAATTTACCCAAACCATTTAAATAATTAATCGTTATTAACTTGATGTCTCTTTTAACTTTGTTTCTCACCTTCTTAAAATCATCAAATATCTTATTATACCTGTACTTAATGAACTTTTTTCATAATAAATTTTTTTCTCTTATTGAATTTAAAACAAAATTTGGTAGTTTAAGGAAATTTTTTTTTTCATTTTCATTTATATACTGTACTGGTACAAATTTATTAATAGCACCTTCAATAACAGAAACAAACCTATCCCAAATCCCATTAATTATTGATTGTTTGCTATTGTCACCAACATTCATCATATCCATCAATGCATGAGATAAATTTGCTTTAATAAATTGATTCATTGGCACATAATTCCCTTTATTGAAATCAAAACGCTTAATTGACTGTTTATTTTTTCCATCTAACTAAACATGAGAAGCTTATCATTATGTGATCACTTTTATCTATTGGAGGATTACATTTAATGTCATGAACTATATTTTTTTCCTGAACAAAAAGCAGATCCAATATGTTTTGCTTCTGCTGGTTTTTGAACCTGGTAGGAAAATCAATACATTGATACAAAAAACAGTGATTTATACAACCAATGAATTTCCTCTGAAAGGACTTGACACCTCTAGAAGTTGAAACAGAATTCCAGTCTATAGACGGGACATTGAAGTCACCTACAATTAATTTCTTACATCCTTTGCCTATAAATTCTTTAATCAGACACAATAAACCTTTATTATTATCTGAACTGGATCTGGGATTGCGGTAAACAGCCAGTAGTGATACCTCCTCTTTATATTTCAATAATCGAATAGCAGGATATTCCTCAAAATTCGCTTTTTAATCAATTACTATAGAAGAAATTTTATATTTAATATAAATAAATATCCCCCTATAACCCTCATCCATAAAATTTTTTGAATACAAGCTATAGCCAGTAATTTGAAATTCAGCAATATTATAGTTATTATTACGTATATTTTTTGGATTAATTTCTAAAAAAAACCAAAACATGTACCTGCCTAGTCCCAGAGTTTACCAAACATCTTATTTCATTTATTTTATTATCAATAGTTTCAACATTTGAGTAAATTACATCCAAATTACATATAAATTCATCAGCATCATCCCTATTTACATTTAAAATTGAACCTAAACCCTTTTTTTTATTTTTATTATACGCATACTCTCTGGCAATCCCCTTACCCTGTAAATATATTCCCCCTGATCATATTTCTGTTTTTCTATTGCCTCAGCAACCAATTTTTTTCTCTCCACTCTTTGTTCCCTGGATAGGTCATGAGCAATGCCTATCTTTCTCTAACCTTCACCTAAGAATTTAATTTTACCTAAATTTTTCAGAACATAGTTTTTCTTAAGCCTATCATTAAATTTTACTAACAGAGGTCTAGTCTTATTATCTTTGCTATTGCCATTTAGCCTGTAGTATTTAACAATATCACCCTCGTTGACCTGTGAGTCTGACAAAACTTATAAAATTTGCATAATTATTTTCTTATCCTCGATACGTCTTGTATCAATACTACTATCTTTTTCCTCACTTAGTCCAAATATTATTATATTATTTGCTCTATCCTCAGCTTTATATTTATTTCTTATTCTATCATTTGTTTTTTCAAGATTTTTACATGCTGACTGAAATTCTTTGTTGACCCCCTCAACTTTTTTTATTAAATTCTCTTCAACAATTTTTACCCATGATTTTGGCATATCATTGTTTAATTTTACCTATAGTTTCTGTTACCTTTTTTTCAATTAATTTTAGGTCTCCAAAAACATTATCGTTACCTTTCGATACTTTATTAACTATCTTATCAACTTTATCCTCAAGTTTAGTCTGCCCCTCATTATTTTACCCACATTATTAATTATTTTTTCAACCTCTTCAACAAGCTTAACCTGGCCTTCACATAATATATCTAATTTATTTTCTAAATCCATTTGCTTTGACTTGAATTCATTAAAATCAAATTTTAAATTTTCTAGATTTTTAAAACAGTTATTACAAGTCCATATATAATTAGAATGCTCACTAATTATCATATGCACTTCCTGGACATTTTCACACTTCCAATGATAAAATAACTTACATAAACCACACCGTGGGTTTTCCAGTGAGCAAGTTCTGTTACATGAATAGCACTTACAAGACATTATTTAAACCACAAATGAAAAAATATATAAATCAGATAGACCAAACTAGCGAAAATGGTCAACGTGTATCCTGCATAAGCAGTACCAATTCTCAACGCCTCTAACCAGGTGCACCTATGTTAGTTAATAACCGAGAATTCTATCCAAAACTCAAAAAAAAACACCCATAAAATGTCAATTCAGCAAAATTACAGGTTTAATTAAATTAATTGTAACACCTAATATCGACACCATATTGTTCCAGACAATATTTTTGAACAAATTTGTCTGGACCAGCTATAACAGCACTTATCAGAACAAGTTTTTTATCTAATTATACTTTTCAAATA